CCCCCCCCCCCCCCCCCCCGTTATTTTGCTGCAGCCGGACTGCGGCATTCGCTAACAATCATATATATTACTTCAATGAAGTGGAGTACTATGTGAATGAGAATTCAAATGTAGGATAGGATCTCAAAATGTACTCAATAGGGGCTGGGGATGTGGCTCAAGCGGTAGCGCGCTCGCCTGGCATGCGTGCGCCCGGGTTCGATCCTCAGCACCACATACAAACAAAGATGTTGTGTCCGCCGAGAATAAAAAAATAAATATTAAAAAAAATTCTCTCTCTCTCTCTCTCTCCCTCCCTCTCTCACTCTATCTTTAAAACAAAAAAAAAAAAATGTACTCAATAAAATGAGCAGTTGAACTGAACAAATGTGGGAGAAGCTCTTCCAAGTTTGTAAATCTCTGTCATTATAGTGTGGGAACAGAAAACTCTTACCGTGGGTAAGCAACTGCTGAAAGATGTCAGAGTCTTCTGAGGAGTCTGCAGACTGGCAGATGGTGTTGCTGGCCCCACTTGTGGATTCTGGATTATGGTGGATGGTTCTGTGGGATGCATCTGAGGAGTTTGGATTCTACTGGATGATGCTGGAGATGAATGAGGACCCTGGATTCCTCTGGATGACGTTGGAGAAAAATGAGGAGTCTGGATTTTGCCTGATGGATCTTCGGGACACATGTGAGGGGTCTGGACTCTGCTGGATGATGTTAGAGATACGTGAGTGGTCTGGAACTCACTGGGTGATGTTCGAGGTAACTGTGGAGTGGGGGTTCTGCCAGCTGGTGCTGCCGGAGGCACCTGAGGAGTCTGGATTTTGCTGCATGATGTTGGAGATGTGTGAGGACCCTGGATTCCTCTGGATGATGTTGGAGAAAAATGAGGAGTCTGGATTCTGCCTGATGGATCTGGGGGAGACATATGAGAGGTCTGGACTCCGCTGGGTAATGTTAAAAGTAAGTGAAAGGTGTTGGTTTTGCCAGATGGTGCTGTTGGAGGCTTCTGAGGAGTGTGGACACTGCTGGATGG